CGTTTCTCCTCGCCGCCAGCCAGCCAGCCAGCCTGCCTGCCTTCGTGTCATGCGCCCGGATTTGGCGGCGGCTCAAAGCGAACAGGGAGAAATGCGATCCATATGGTGGCACTATAAAGTCCACCCCAAGCCCCCAGCTCGCTCCACTCCCAGCCCTGCTGCCCAGGGACAGTGTGCACAGGGCTGCTCTTGCTCTCCGACGCCCGGCGATCTCCTGGAGAGCTGCCTGACTGGGGTACGTGCTGCACGAACCGGCGGTGTGATGCTTGCCACACGTCCAAGGGAACCATGAGGATGACATTCTAGAGAGAGCCGGGAATATACACGACTATCTGTGGGATTACGACCTGCAGTGAATGTTTTTCTGGGTGGCTATTAGGGCTATTAAGCTTCTTTTTTTCTGTAGTCTGAATCCATACATAACCTCCTGCTTTGGACACTGATTTCTAAGGACGGCTTCTGATCTTCTCACGTTTTTGTATTTTTGTTTCTTTTTTCCCGTGTGTTTTGTGCTGTTTTAGCCCTCTTTTCCTGTGAAACCCTCCCTTCCCATTCTCTGTGTCCTGAGATGCTGAGGCATTTAATATGAAATCAAATAATAATGTTTAACTTTAGAACTCCCTTTGTGAATAATCTGTGAGTCACTAACAAAGGGCAAGCAGGTGTTGAAATGCCTTAGCTGAGATGAAGTTTCAAGATGTGTAGCGTTGACTCATTTCATTCCTCTGTGCAGATACAGGATGTCTCATTGGTCAAGGGCTCTTCTGAGGGTAGCATTCCTCTGAAAAATTCCTCCAGATTGTTCTCTTCTCATCCACAGACACGCGGAGCTTTGCGATGAATTCTCTGGGCCGTGCAGCTTTCCTGCTTCTGCTGGGTGTGGCTGTTTCCCAGAACAGCCGCGGCCCCAAGCCCAGCGGCAAGGCCCCCCGAAAGACAGGAACCCCGGTGGGGGAGGCTGCTCCTGGGCGCCCCGAGGACGATCCCCTCCCGGCTCAGTGGGGGTCCACGCAGGTTGGTAAGGACCTGAAGACCCCCCAGACCCAGAAGCCCAGCGAGGACATGAACCTGCACTTCCTGAAGAACGCCCAGGTCACCTGTAACGACGGGACAGCAGCAGGGTGAGGCGATCCGGACGGCGCCACGTTCTTCCATGCTGTGCTGCTGTCTGTTTCTGGTCATTCGCTGCCATGATCTGTAGTTGGCTTCCTCTGCATGTTCATATGAGCGCATCAATTTCCCTTCGGGATCAATGAAGACTTATCTATCTATCTTTATGAATCAGAGAGCTCGGAAACAGACTGCAGCCTGGAGGTTGCTAGATTACCTCCAGGCTGTGCCCCTTGCCGTCTTCAATTATTATTTTTGGGAAATGCAGTTTTCTTCCCAGGCTTGTCTTCTCCCTTTGCATACCATTAACTAGACGAAGTGCTGTTTATAGATTAAGAATAGCTGCCGGCGTTTTAGTAATCAATGTCTTTGTGTGAAAAATTAGTTTTTACCGTTTGGGATCCTGATCCATTTTTTCTCGTTCTGCCCAGATTTTACCTGAGAGAGTGCAAAGGAAGCAAACGGTGGCTGATATTTTTAGAAGGTGAGAATTCTTTAATTTCTTCTTTCAAGTTTGAGTGAGGTGATAAACTTCCTAAGGGTTACCCCGTGCAGAGTCCGAAAAGCCTTGAGACTCTGTTATGTATAAAAAAAACATCCTGGTTTTATTTCTTTAATTGCCTCTATTTCATGCCAGTAGCTTTTTAATATACTCCTGCCGATGACTGAGTCCTGTCTGGACTCCTACAGTGCTACTATGGTGTAAAACACCTTAACTTCCTTCTCCTGCTTTTCTCTATGAGCGTCCTGAGTTTGATGAGTCAGGACAAAGTCATTATTTAATTACACAAGATGATTTCTGCAGCCACACTATGGATCTAATGTCTTAATAATGGAATTGAATTTAAGTAGTTGCAAAGACTAACTGTATATACAAGACAGCGAGGTTCCCTGCAGGACTTCAGGGGCATGCATGCCTCAGATAATCTCATCACATTCTCTCCAGTCCTGGGCGAAAGGCTAATGGGATCTCCCTTTACAGTTATCTGTGGCTGATATTAGGGTCTTATTTTTAGGTGGCTGGTGCTGCTATAACAAAGAGACCTGCGATTCAAGATACAAAAATATCCCTCGTCTCATGAGCTCATCGGAATGGCCACAATCGCGTAAAGGTACAGCCCTGACCCTGGGTAACTATTGGGTAATAGTTCAATAGTTACCCTGGGTAACTATTGAACCAGACCCAGCCAGTGCCCCCCTGGGTCGTATTTTAATAATACAGCAAGCATGCTGTGTCACTGTCCTGCCGCACATAGATCATTGCATTTGAATGTGTTTTTGCAGCTACATTGATAGTCTGGCTTTCATCTGATTGTCCTCCGTGGTTTTCCAGGAAGCGGGATTCTATCCTCCGAGGCAGATGAGAACCCCCACTGGTGGAACGCCAACATGGTGTAAGAGCTTATCTGCAAATCTGTTTGCTTTCGCTGGCCGAATACAGAGTCATACAAGTGCTTGCGCTCGGAACTGAAATGCATTTGTGACGCACCTTGCTTTTCCCTTGTTCTTTGGGGCTTTAAAAATGGAGATTCACCAACTGTACTAGTCCAGTCTGTTTTTTTTTTTCATGCCCGGTATGGTGATAAAATATTCGTAAGATATTCTTAGTAAATTTTGGGATGGAAACGAAGCTGTGCACAAATAGCATTCTGCTCTCTTTAGGCTGTGATCATGAAAGCATTAAGTCTGCAACCAGTGTTCTGTCTCTTTGTGTTTGATCATTCTGTCTTTAGCAGGGGGTCCATTATAAGGAGCAGGTAAGTGGTGTGAAAATTCAGTGAATACTTTTCAGTAAAACGGGGATTGATTTGTCGTTGAGCATTTAGATGCTTATTTAAGTGCCTTGCTTTCAGATTTTCATCTCCCTAGTATCTGGCTTGTGTACAAGTACTGTAAGTAGGGCAGCCGGTAGTGTGTTTCTGGGTGATCTGGATGACAGTGATGGCTCGTCTCTCAGGTTCATCCCCTACTGCTCCAGTGACGTGTGGAGTGGCACCTCCTCAAAGACGGGCCAAGGAAAGGAGCCAGGTACTGTAAGACCTCCGTCTCCTGGCAAAACTCAGATCCTGGATTCAGGACTGGGGGATGCTCTTGGTGTCTTTCATCTTCCTCTTCGGATCCTTCTCCTCTTCCTCTTCCAAGGGTTTTTTACCTCTGCTTTCCTGCTGGTAGAAAATCTGCCCTCTGATCTGAAGTCGAATGCAAGCTCAGTGTCCTGTGTCTTCCAGTTGAATATGCCTTCATGGGTTCCCTGATCATCCGGGAGGTTATTAAAGACCTGGTTTCCAAAGGGATCAAACAGGCCAAGGTGGTCATGCTGGCTGGCACCAGGTGAGCTCCTTGTCCACTTCCCATCTCACAGAGTTCTGCCAGTCCTGCGTGTTGCTGTTGGGCAACTGAATCTCGCAAACAAAATCCGCTCTCCCCTCCTGTCTCTCAGCGCCGGGGCGACGGGCGTCCTGCTGAACATCGAGAAGGTGTCCAGTCTCCTGGCGCAGCTGGGGACCGAGGCTCAGGTGCGAGGCCTGGTGGATTCCGGCTGGTTTCTGGAGAGCAAGCAGGCGAGAGCCCAGGAGTGCCCCGACAACGCTTCCTGCACGCCCACTGACGCCATCAAGAAAGGCCTCAGGTAGTGCCCACAGCCCCCTGCCCCCCTGGCACTATCCTGGCAAGCTGCAGTCGGGTCACAGCGTGGCAGCGTGCTGTTGTGAAATACCATTGCTCACCTTTGTGGTTCTGTTAGCAGAGTCATGTGCCTGGTAGGTCTGAAAACAAACACTGAGACATATTTATATCCCAGGCTGGGAACAGGAGCCTTGAGGAAAACATACAAAGCAAAAAACAGCAATAATAATAATATTTGTAGTGGAAAGAGTTGAGGGAGTCACAGAGACTTCAACAGGAAGCACATTAAGTGCAAGCTCTGTGTCAGTGTAGGGAGATTCACTGTCACTGTCTGTTGGCATTCTCAGGGCCACGAGATCACAACTCATTAGCGTATGAGTTCCTGCAGATTCATTTTGGCCTGAAGGATGATAATCATATCTGGTTCATTTTGGAGTAAATGATCTGGAACAGACAGGGATGTAAAGTGCAGCACCCACAGACCTCTTTTGACAGTGATGCCTCTTTTGGTTTACTAACATATTAAGCTGAATGAACAGGACAATCTATGTCACATGCATCATGGGGTTAAGGCCTTGACATTCGTGCCTCTCAAACTCCAGGCTTTCTTTCAGTTCCCCATGTAAACTTCCACGTGCTACAAGACCTCGCTCCTCCCTTCTGTTGCTTCAACCCTGGCTTCCCAGATCATCCATATCAGACCTTGCAAAGTCAGCATGCTTACTGTAAATCCTGTCTTGAAGCCTTCTTCCCAATTCTCTTTCATTTGCTGTTTTATGTCTTGTGACTCATTTGCTCATGCGCCTTGTGATGATTTACCATGTAAGAGGCTATATTTAGTGTAAAAAATTTTATTAAGAGGTATAACCGACACGTGACTCCATCTGAATTGAAGGGGATTGTGCCACAGTGCCCCAGTCCTGGGGAGAACAGGTGTTTGCGCAGGGCTGTAACACTCTGATCCCGGCGTGTTCTCTCAGGCTGTGGAATGGCATCATCCCCGAGAAGTGTCGGCAGCAGTTCAAGAAGGGCGAGGAGTGGAGGTGCTTCTTCGGACCTAAGCTGTATTCTTCTTTGACCCGTGAGTCTCCTGGTGAGCCGTAAAAACACGCCGCGGGCTTCCATGACTTGCACCAGATCATAACTCACTCAGAGCCGCTCGTCCTTAAAGGAGAGTCAAGTCGAAGCTTTGAGATTTGTTTTTGCGGCCACGCTTTTGCACGTGAAGAATCGGGTGCCCTGCCCTACAGGTTTGGTTTCTGGCCGAGTTAAGTTTCCTTCGAACTTCCACGGCTCTGTTTTCCGACCGCCTCTTCCTATTCGGAGCCGCGAGAGAGCCGGAGACTATCCCGGCAAGCAAGGGGGGGGCAAGGCAGGATACCACCTGAACAGGACACCAGTCCGTCGCAGAGCACACACAGATACAGACACAAAACACACACGCACTCGCACCCGAGACAATTTCCAATTTCCCCAGTGGCCAATTAGCCTACCAGTGTGTCTCTGGACTGTGTGTGTATGTGGGGGGGGGAAACCGGAGCACCTGAAGGAAACCCACTCGAACACGGGGAGAACATACCAGCTCCACGCAGAGAGCACAGGTCGGGAATCGAACCCAGAGCCCCTGCGCCGTGAGGCAGGAGTGCCGGCCACTGCGCCGTCCTCCTCCGCACTTGTGTCAAGGCCTTGGCGGAGCTGTGTGCGTCTCCCCACAGCTCCCCTGTTCGTGGTGCAGTGGCTCTTCGACGAGGAGCAGCTGCGGGTGGAGGACATCTTCCTGGGGGGCCGGCCTCTGTCCGAGCACCAGTGGGCCTACATCCAGGGCCTGGGCCGCGAGCTGAAGAGCTCCCTGCGGGACGTGACGTGAGTCCGAGTCCGCCCGGCCTCGGGCTCCTCGTTTCCTCTCGCGAGGAACATGCTCTTCACGCGCTGTCGATAGGGGACGTTCAACGTTCAACGTAATCTATAATTCCCTCTCAGTCAGAGGACAATCAATTCAACCATTAGTCTTTAGTTTAATTACAGCTCTGGGGAAAGAGTTAGTGCCAGATAGACTAAATCTGGCTCATAATGGACATTATGGGAAGGGGTATCCTTGTACTGTAAGTGCAGTGTCAGAGTGGATGAGCTACAAAGACGGTGTTGTGTTTTTGAATAACCTAGCGCTGCACTGGCTGCCAGTGTGCTGATAGTGTTGGCAATGTCTTTCAGGGCGGTCTTTGCTCCTTCGTGCCTGTCCCACACGTTGATCACTAAACGGTAAGGCCCCTCGCGACGTGGCTGTCCTGCAGTTGAATGAGGGTGAGCTCATGTAGCTGTTTCAGGGCAGATCGTTTATCTCAACACATTCTGCCTGTCATCCGCATTCCGCACTGTTGCGCTCCTCCTGGGTTGGGAAGGGGAGGGCAGAGGGGTTGTTTTGGGGATCAGGTATGATGATCTCCAGTCGTCTGAAACACTGAACTGAATTCTGGGGGCTTTCGCCACATGCTGCTGACGGCGCATCTTGCCCTTCTCTCCCCCTGCCCCCTGCAGGAACTGGATGGATTTCCAGATCAAGGGCACCTCCCTCTCCCGTGCCCTGCAGTGCTGGGACAAGAGCCTCCAGGATGCCAGCCGGAACGGCAAGGCGCCCGTCAAGGGCTGCCCCTATCACCTCATCGACAGCTGCCAGTGGCCCCAGTGCAACCCCACCTGCCCCGCCCTGCTGGACCAGACCACCCAGCAGGAGCTCAGCCTGCTGCAGGTCCTCGTGAGCTTGGGCCTGGACCTGCAGCAGGTAGGCCTGGACCTCCCTGGGGAGGCCAGCCACCTGGCAGGCATGGTCAGCAGTGGGGGCTAGAAGCTGCCGTGTGGTCTGGGAGCAGTGACGGCCGGTGGTGCTGTTCTAAGGGGGGGGGGGAGTCATCTTACGATGTAATCTAATGAAACGCAACAAAACAGATCTACCTCTGATCTCCACTTTGGCCCCTCAGCATTCCACTCTACTCCAGCGTTAGACGTTGTAACCCGTGATTATTTCACTGCGCTATTAGAGCAAGTCACTCTTGGACTTGTCGGATAGATCGCCCCTTGCCTTGTACTGGTCCCAGTTAGCTGCGTCTCTGTTCTGAGCAAATTCTACAAGCTGGGCTGAATCAGATAACGAAAAAGGCTTGTGTTTGTACTTAACCTGCCTAGTGAAACTACAGTATAAGATGTCGGTCTGCCTTATGTTCGAGCTGTGTATCTCTGTGCAATTCCAAGAGTCAGAAAACAAGTGAAGAAGTATCTTTTGGACCTGAAAGGTATCCAGGAGCCCCAGGTGAACAGGTAGATTATAAATTAACTGTGGATGCTGGATTAACACCTAATAGGTTCACAAGACCACCACTTCCACTTGTAGATTCTGTGTGCTCTCTGTGTTAGTGGTAAAAGTTACTAAGTTCTTCTGTAGTGCTGCAACATCATTTACTGTGCATTGACTGTGATTTCAGGAGAGGAATGAGGGAGACATCATGATCTCTCTCTATTTTACTTTTTAATTGTCAATTTTATACTTTTCACTGACTGCCACCACTGATACATAATACTGTACATAGGAAGGTAGAAATATTTGAATATTTATTTATATATATATCCATTAATTATGCTTGATGGTGTGGTTTGAAATTCCTGTTTATTAATGAATTAGCAGGAAACTTTCTAGGTCTGTCACTCAGCCTGGTTACTGTCACTCAGTTGTTGCATGGTATTCAGATGCAAAGCCAAGGGAACTTTGATGAGGGCAGGAGATCATAAACCCTATAGATAAGGTCTTGGGATTTGATTAAGTTAGCAATATGAGAAATGTAGCGATTTGAAGTGTGCGATACTTGTTATAAGCAATGGGTTCAGTTCTTGAAGACTCGCGAGGAGTTTTAATTTTATTGTGTAAATTTGTCTGGTCTTTTTAGACGTACGATTTCAACTCCAGTAATGAGAGAATAAATGTACTGTATTATTACTATATATGCTATGTATACTGCTTTTTGTGATTGTTGCTTGCAAGTTTTGAATTGCGATACGTGTGTGTGCTCTGAAAAATGACATTCACATCCAGCTCTCTGGACAGACAACAGAGTGGGAAACTCTCGGTGGGAAAGATGGACAGATTCTGGAGGGCACTAGGCAAACGAAGATATTTGTTTTGGGTGCAAGAACCACTTATAGAAGATTTCCGCAGAGAGTGTTCTTGAAACTGGTATTAGCACCAAATGTGTGTCAACCCCAGAGTCCTGTGGAAACAACTTGCTACCTAGAGATGGCTTTACAGCAGTCTTAAGCACTGGTGGGGAAACTGGTCTTGTTGGGGTTTATTCGTTCTGTGTGACTGCTGTGTCCACCTACATGCTGCTTATTCTTACTCTATAATATTTCGTCATGTACAGTATATACAATAAATCTATACTCTAAAAATTGAGCCACATATTTTATATCAGTAAATTGTTGTATTTTTATCACCCTGCAACTCACAACTGGCAGGCCGCTGCAGCTCAGCAGGTGTGAGCCTGGTCAGTACCTGGACGGGAGACCTCCTGGGGATAAACTAAGGTTGCTGCTGGAAGAGGTGTCAGTGGTCCTGACTCTCTGTGGTCATTAAAATCCCAGGGCGTTTCTTGAAAAGAGTAGGGGTGTTACCCTGGTGTCCTGGAGAGGATCTCCATTGCCTGTAAAGCGCTTTGAGTGTCCAGAAAAGTGCTATATAAGTGTAAGGAATTATTATGAACTATTTATTATTCAGAAGTCTACCTCTTCCCTAGGCCTGCACAGAAGCACAGCATTTTCACATCAGCATTTATATTTATCCAACTGTTGCTTAACAGTCCAGTTAGAACGGTGTTGTCTGACCTATAGATAACACAAACGGTCCATTTCTGCGCAGAAACCATGTTGCGTCGCTACCCAACCACGCGAGTGTGCATTACTCTACAAATGCTTTGAATTATCACACACATCGCACACCATCTGCTTGTGAGCTGCTGTGAGACCTGTTGTGCGATTGAAGAACAGAACTTGCAGCATCTCCGTTGGGATGTCTGAACTTTTGTCTGGCTGTGATTCTTGTGTTGGGCACTAGAGGGAACTTTCGAACTGCTCTCCGGTTTTTTGCATAAGATAAGAACTTGTATTTGGGCCCGAGAATGAGAGGAAAGCTATAGAAGTGGAGAAACCAGAAAATGTTTTGTTCTGAAATGAAAATGGATATTCGTATCATGAGAAAGCATATTCATTTTGTTTTAGAAAAAAAAATGTTAATATACGTTGCTTCACATAATGCACCCGTCAGAAGTGACACGTGTTTTTCGGGAAATATGAAATATCGTTTCATTTTTTTAAGTAAGCCATGCCGTGCTTATTTTAAAACTAATGGTTTAATAGAAACCAAAACATGCAACCGAAAGGATGCTTTTTCAGTTGTTTCTCAACCCACGCACCTGCCAACGAAATGCAGTAAAGTAATAAGTGTTTTCTTTGCAAGTTCAGCAATTGAGCTTCTCGGCTGTCAGGCTCCAGTATCACATCAGATTTCAGTGTGCAAGTGGAGTAAAATACACAGGGTTATAGGACCCTGCTGCCTTGTCTTCCCTTCCTGGGTCCAGGCTGTGTTGAACAGAAATGCATTTTCCCATGGCCTGACGCTCTGAGGGGGTCAGAGGTCAGAGGTTAGCCCTGTCCTGTCTTCCCAAGGGCCACACCAGCCTGGACTGCCTATAAAATATGAACAAGCAACAGAACAAGCACTTTACATGTTCAAGTACACATGCATTGAGACATGTCACATTTTGCACATGGGTGCTGTCTTTGCCGGGACTTTGAGGGACTCCGGCTGTCCAATAAACAGCTGGAGAAACAGAGAGTGTGAGTCAGAAGACAAGCAGTCAGTTCTAGCATTGTAACCCGTACAAGATGACGAGGTTTCGCCAGGGAAGGCTTTCAGTGCTGCACTCCTTCAGGTTCTTAGGAAATAGCTGTAACTCATGCTCTGTCACACTCCCACTCACCTGTCAGCAGGCAGCACATTACACAGACGGGAAGAGCTTATCTCCACCTGTGATAAGGTCCCTTTATTGGCCATATACAATTTCTTGTATTGGGAATTTGTCTTTTTGCATACCCCAGCTTGCTCTCCATGAGACACACAGGCAGGGAGAGAAGCTGGGGGTCAGAGCGCAGGGTCACCCATTTATAGTTGGGGTTAGGGGGTAAGGGCCTTGCTCAGGGGCCCAACGGAGTAGGATTCCTCTGCCGGCCCCGGGATATTGACCGGCAACCTTCCAGCACGCAGGCACAGTTCCCGAGCCTAAGTGTCACCACTCTGCTGATGCAGCCAGTGCTGTTCAGTGGTCACACAGAGCTTAAAGCCACGGTTTCCCCTGGAACTGCAGTCACACAGCAAGAGGCTGCTCTGTCAGAGCTCTTTAAGGACATCACTGAGAGGCAACTGGGAGGGTGCTGCACAGTTCAGTGTAGTGTTTTGCTGATGTGCTTAGCACTAAGTGATACCTGCATTATATTTTAGACCATAGAAATGCTTACCGTGGCGTACCAAGGCGAGCTGACAGTGCAGAGCGTTAAATCACAGTGAAATCTTCGTAAACACATGACAAATCAGCTAGAGGTGTGGCACAGTGAGATAAAATATAAGCAAAGAAGACCAAGTCAAAACCAGTGCAAATCATAAGCCCATAAGCTCCTCACACAAACACACACCCAGAGATGAGGCAGCTTTTCTTCTTATCCAAGCGACCACGGATCCCCGTTATATCGTGTGGTATGAGTGCTACAGACTTAACGGTTCTAGAAAATGATCATTTAAGAAACAAACTCACTTCGACAGCTTAAGCAAAGAGTCGACATCATGCTTCTCACGCTGCAATCAGGGTACAGAAGTACAAGGAGTTCAGAAACGTACACAAACACACACACACACACTTCCTGCCTCCTCCCCTCGCCAAACTACCGGTTACATCATCCTTTCTGTCTGGACCGTTGACTGTGGGACTGTTAGGAAAAAAATTTGAACTTGCTTTCTGTTGGCAGGCTTCCTCCCTCTTGCAGTGCCCTCCCTCCTTTGCCTGTACTGTATGTCTGCCATTTTCTCTCCCTGTCTCCTTCTGTGACTCTTCCCTTTCCCTCTCTTCTCTCTGTCCCTTGCTCCTACGTTTCTCACTCTGTTTTCTCTCTCTCCCTCCTGGCTCCTTTCCTGTCTGTCCCTTACCTGGCGGAGAAGTCTGATGTATCACGTCACCCTCTTGACCAAACTCCCACAATTCCAGATGCAGCTCCTTTCCATAACGAGCAAAACTACTGCGCCTTTTTGGTTTTTACTGCAAAAAAAACCCTTAGTCCTCCATCGTGCAGAAGTCACAGACATTTTCTAGAGTAAAAAAAACAGGTCACATGGAAGAAGACATCATTGTAAACAAGGTTCTGCCAATTTAGAAACTCTGATGAATTGTTATTTTAAAGAAGGAGAAAATAGATATGTCATAAAATAGTGATATGTCAGTGCGGTGATTACAACAAGCTTAAAATGTCCTGACAGCTTCAATAAGCTTTAAACAAAGGCAGAGCTCTCTGGAGTGGAGGAGTGCAGCGCGTAAAACAATGTGGGCCAGGAAAATCACAGGGCCGCACCACAAGTCTGAACACAGTCACAATAGGGGCCCTGCTACTTCCTGTGCGAGACCAGGACCAGCTCTTCCTTTCTTCCTGCTCGCTAGGTATAAATACACTTCCTCCCAGAGCACCGTGTGCACAGGTGACATCATCTGAGCTGGAGTGTTTCCCTCTGTCCTGCCAGTCCATGGTGTCGGTGGTGGTCCTGGGGCGGCCTGAGATTCCAGCCAAGAGCTGCTGCCGCTGTGAGCTTCAGTGTGACATCGGGGGTGTGAGTGGATGTCTGGCAGCAGGATTGCAAAGAAGTGATGTCAGTGAAGACAGATTTCTGGCTGAAGCCCTTTTTCAGTGAGGCTGCCAGAGGCTTTTAGGTGGCAAGAGTTCGGCAAGGCGACTTCTACAAGGCGTCAGTTCTGTAATCGGTGTTTGTGCTCGGAGTGCTCAACCTGAACTCCTGCTCAGCCTCCTGTCCTCTCCACAGCAAGGTTTCGCTGCATCCAGCTCTTTGGTTATTTCCAACTCACTGCCATGCAGAGCAGCAGGTTGGTATCTCTTGCAGGCCTGTCCACTCATTCTGCAGGAGAGAAAGGTGTCAGTTTCCAGTAGCTGTGTGGCAATGCTATGCTGCTGGGCTTTGAACCTGAGAATGCTGGTTGGCGTTTTTCTCCTTCTGAGTTCTGGGTTGGCGTGACACAACACTGTGATCTGGTCTTCTGCTAAAAACTGAGGAGAGTGGGTAAATCTTTATGCAAAAGGTTGTGGGAGTGTGGAACAAGCTACCTAGTCATGTTTTTGTACCAGAATGCTCTGTCTTCCTTCAAGAACTGCCTGGATGAGATCCTGAGATCACTTAAGAATTAGCTGTCAAACAAGCTAGACGAGCCAAATGACCTCCCCTGGTGTGTAACTGTTCTTACAGTGTGCTACTGAGCTGCCAGAGCTGCCCTGTCTAGTGGCTGGGGGAGGGAATCTTGTAATTGTCAATGAGGGTAGGTCAGGGGTCAACAGAAACAGTCAACAGACCGTCTCCAAGCTCTCGGAAATCTCTGCAATACCTCGGTCAGAGGGGAGCGGCTGACTTCTAAACAGGCTCTTTTTTGAGTCCTTGTGAGCCTTGCCTTTACTACAGTGACACTTCACAGAGCCTGCACTGAGAAGCAGTCCCTCCCTTTCCTCCATTCCTGCTCTTCTCCTGTGCCTGACAGATGTCTGTCTGACTGACTAAGGTGACCTCAGACCTTAGACGCAGAAAAAGAGCTGAGTAGAGAGACAGGTGCACAATTGGCAGGTAAATCGCGTATGTGACTTAATGGAACGGGAATGAATCACAAGTCTCTGTCCTCTGTTTTTTTAGCAAGTTGAAATTCATATTTGAGCCATACACAAAAATGACACAACAGCTACAATTTTTCAACTCCCTAAAAAACTTTATTTTTGGTTCAAGTGTTTTTCTCCTTAACGTCCTTTCATCGCGTCCTATTTCAATAATTCCTCTGATGTTTTTTCCCCATAAAATCCACGCTAACTTTCGTTTAGCCCTGATGGTGACATTGTGAGAGGAATGAGCAACTGGGCTATGAATCCCTCTTCCAGGACATGAACGCGGGACGCTGTCTCTTTAAGAGAAGAGGGCGGGCGGGAGTGAGCCTGCACTGGAGGTTCACAGCTTCCCTCTCTCTCTCTCCCGCTCTGTTTTTTTTAAACCGAAATTCTTCGTTAAGAGTTTGGTATTTCCTCTGAGCTCAGAGACAGAAACTAAACACCCGGGACTCTGCGCTTTCCTGACAAAGTTGGAGGCGGAGGTGGGGGGACTTTTGAAAAACTCTCTGGATCAAGAGGCACATCAGAATCACTTTCAGAGCCACGACTAGAAAACAGGAACTTCAGGGCTTGCAGTACAGCTCTTTCTGAGAGGCGACGGAAGGCTGGGGGAGCTGTTCTCTTCTATCTGTTCGGCGGGGAGCACCGAGCAGGGCGTCTGGGCTGCGTGGAGCTGTGTCACCATGGGATAGTCCCACGTTGCCTGTCACTGTCTGCCCGTCTGCTGTCTGCTCTGGCCAGCATGACGGTCTACACTCTGAACCTCAGGGTCTTCTGGCTGCTGGTCTCCTGTGTCCTCATAGCCCTGCTGCTCATACACCAGGCCCTGCGCAGAGGCCCGGACCCGGGGCCCGAGGGCTGCCCCGACAGAGCTCTTGGGGTCCTCTCGCTGCTCAAATTCGCCCTGGCCTTCTCCCTGTGCTACTTCTTCATCAGGTACTGCTCGTCCTACCAGGGCCAGAGAAGAAGGGGGTGCAGGGAGCCCCCCGACGTGACCCCCAGGGCCGGCCCTTCCAGGAGGGAGCTGCTGGAGAGCTATTACGAGCGGCAGGTGCGCCTATCCCCCCACGTCCTGGGCCACAGCAAGGCCCATGTGGCCAAGCTGGTGAGCGAGCTGGTGAGGGCGGGCCGCGCCGAGCTCCCGCCCGAGTCCGCGCTGGCGTTCCGCGGCGACTTCATCCAGATCGGCAGCGCCTACGAGGAGCACAAGGTGGGGCGCCCCGACTGTTTCGACATCCTGGTGCCCCTGAGGCTCCCCCGGGGGCTGAAGCTGGAGCCTCGCAGCTGCCCGGGGAAGGAGGGGGGCCCCCCCCTCTGCAGCCTGGAGACCCCCAGGAGGTCGGAATGGCTGCGGCGGCACCGCGTCTTCGCCGAGAGCCTCCTGAGCCCGGCCGCGGGAGGAGACGCCTGTCAGCTGGGCCCCGCGCCCGTCCTGCGCTGGTTCTACCCCACGGTGCAGCGCTGCCTGGGCGCCGTCCGCTACCCCTTCGAGCAGCGCTGCTCCCTCGGCCTGTCGCTGAGCGAGGACCGCGTGATGCTGCGCCTCACCCCGCGCTCCGACTACGTCTGCTGCCACATCTCCATGGGCGTGCGCCTCATCCCCGCCCTGCCGCTGGGCGAGGGCGCCTACCTGGTGGCGGCGGCGGCGGCGGCGCGGGGCTCCCGGCAGGAGGCCCTGTGGACGCCGTACTTCCCCAGGCAGGAGCAGCGGCTGCTGGGCTGGCTGAAGGCCAGGGTGCCGGCCGGCTCCTGCCACCTGAAGTGCCTCCAGATCCTCAAGGCGGTGCGGGACCTGAGCGGCCAGGCGCTCGACAGCCAGGGCGCAGCGCAGTGGCGGGCCGTGCTCTCCTCCTACGCCCTGAAGACCGCCTGGCTGCATCTGCTGCTCGGCAGCCCCCCCGAGGCCTGGGAGGAGCGCCGCCTGCTGGACAGGATGGAGGAGCTGCTGCGCGGCCTGCGGGAGAGCCTGCACCGGGGCCACCTGGGGCACCTCTTTCTGGGGGGCGACCCGGGGCTGCTGCCCGACTCCCTTGCCCTGCCCAAGCCCTTCAAGGACGCCCCGGCCTCCAACCTCCTGGCCGGGTTCGACCCAGCTGTTCTGGAGCTGGTGGCGGCTCGGCTAGCCTACTCCTGGACCCACCTTCACCGGCTTATCCGCCTGGGCCGGCCTCAGCGGGACGTCCCTGGCAGAGGTATGCACTGTAAGCACCTGGAGGCGGAATAGCCCCCCCCCGACTGGCTTAAGAAGGGATGTCTCGAACCCGAGGCCGTGCAACAGGCTCACTTTGAGTCTCCGGCTGCTCTTGAAGCGGGATGTGTTTCTGCAGAGGTTATCTAGCCTAGAGAAATACTGCTGATGTGGGATATGGCAGGGGCAGAAGATCAAGAAAGCTTCACTGTTCTGTTTCGGGGGGCTGAAGGTCCTGCAGGGATGAGACTAAGGTTCCCATTGCATAGGAAATGGCAGCCGGTTCGGGTTTTATGCAATGTAGGGTGTTGCAGTTATGCCAGTGCCTGGTGCGGGATTTTATATGATTGTTTCTTCTACTTGACCTAAGCAGCAATATTCAGCATTTTTTGCTGATACGGATTCATCAGTACATTTAAGACAAGGGCTATGTATCTGAAATGTCTACAGTTGCTCTGCAATGGGAGTTGCATTTACCAACCCCACACCTGCACCACAGAAATCCCCCCTGGGATCACCAGCTCGTGGCTGCGACCCGACTCTTTTGACCCGGACTCTGCGGGTCAGAGCCTGCTGGTGCCCACCGGGTCTGTGCCAGTCTAATATTACGGAGGAGCTGCACTCTGTTTGAAATGCCTGAGAGCCAGGAACATCTCTGTAACCTTTGCTGTTATTTCAGATTTCACAAACTTCCATCTCTGCCAACAGTTTCCTCACTGGAGAATATTCATCCTGTCCGGTTTCTTGATTTCCAGGGCGAATGGAATCAAAAATGGCCTTTTGTAGGAAAATAGAAGCAACTTGGGAAATCTGGTACGAGACTGACTGTTTTTGGTGCTGATTTGTTACTTAAACTGTTTTCTTAACCTCAAAATTGTCTGAGCAAACTATGATCAAGACCAAAGGGCTTTGAAAATAACCTGATCCATGTGTAAGGCTGGGTGTGCATGCTGTAGCACAGGGGAATTGAAAAGGAAACTTGTACATTACAGATAGAATTCGACAGCAGCAATACATGCTGGTAATTGTACTACAGGTAGCTTATTTTTCACTGTGTTACAACAGAGATACAGGACGTGATCCAGTGAAAATGGTACACAAAAGACTGAGTATTTCAAAAGTTCCTTGTCAGGATCTTCATGCAGTTCACTGTAATAGGAAGTGCAATCTTGAGACATGAGCAAGAACACTCACACTGCGGTCAGTTTGCAAGGAGAGCTGCCCTAATGACTCAAGAAATTCTTTGCACTAAAAAACCTCTGAAGGGCAGAAATGCAGAAACATGCTGCATGGCTCTGAATGCTGTATCTGAGTCAGGTGGCATGAAAATAGAATAGTGCCAGAAGGATAGACTGCTATCACATGGAGCCCATGCAAATACCATTCACAGACTGTGATCATCTGGAGGACCTCTGAACACTGATGTCTCTCACCTGTAAAACCGCAGGAAGCACAAAGGCCTCCGCTTCACACCCCTCACACAGTGAGAGATGTTACTGTATCCGAGGACGAAGGCCCAGAAGTAAATGTTTCCACGGCTTTCTCATGTCAGCGTGACTCATGTCAGAGCTGGGGCGACTGGGCTCTGTCTGAACGGGGACGGCAGTTACAGAGCCAGGCCGTAGAGCCCCGATGCGTCTGAGTCAGATTTCGAGCCCTGGAGGTGGGAAGCGGAAATTGTGTGTAGGAATTCTTCTTAGCAGTTGTCTGGGAAGTAGTTGATACCAGAGGAATTTGGTTTTCTAAAAATGGATTTGCTCACCAAAGAAACAAACAAACGCCAGTACAGGAGCGTCACTGGCCAGGTCTCTGTGAAGAGGCCTGCCCACGTGGGCATTTAATCAGGGTTTATCTGGGAGTGGGCTTGAGACAGATGTCTGGATGAGTCAGCGAGGTGCCTTGAGACATTGCAGTTGCCTGCTCTTGTGGCTGTCAGTGCAATCTGACACTTCAGTGGGGAGAAGTGTGCTCATCATCCCTGTCTTTAAAACCACATCGATCACTGCGGTGTGACTGAGTCAGGGGCAGGGACATGAATCTGTCTCGTACCCTCCCGGTACCGCAGAATACAAGTGGCATAGCTGAGCCGTCCTTGTGAAGCGACGAGCATTTCATACCTGTTTTCATCCGGCTGTGTGACTATAGCAGCGCAGCATTGACATACTGTTTCATGGGTACATGGTTATGCAAGATTTATGTGCATGTTCGGAAGTAAGAACTATTGCCAAGCATTTGGATCGTTTTTCCTAGTGCATCATACAGGATGACTGTATGGCCTTGGATACTTGCACTCAAGACAAATTGATGCCTTTCTAAATGCTATTATGTGTTAAATCTCTGCAACAATTAGTGAACATCGCACAATATTATTGATTTGCCGGGAAGAAATCATTTGACACATTTTACTGACTCAGTGACATGTTGTCCTAACGACCCTGTAGAGGGAACGGGAGAAAGCTCGTGCAGCCAGCTGCTGTGTGTGATCAGACACGGGTGGAGCAAGCCGAAGTGTGCAGCAACCTGCAGGCACACACCTTAGCGGTCGTCACCACGGGGACGATACTTTCTCTCTGAGGTCGTGCTTTAGCTTATACTGGTGGGGATCTGGATAAAATCTTTGCATCAGTCAAGCAGCTCCTGTGCAGAGTAGCCATAAAAAAAATGGCAGAAGTTTTGTTTAATTGCTTCTGGTTAAAGAGCTCATTCAACCACTGCGGATTGGAATGGCATTCATTTTGCATCAGTTATCATAACAGAGGCTGCTGTGCAAGTGAATTGGCTTAATATACAGTACGTGATAACTCAGGTCTAGCCTTGCTTCTGAGCTGGTCAGAATGTACTTGAATAAGCCGTTATGCCCTGATGACAGATTCAAAGCTTTTAAATCCAAAAGACATGATCCACGCCCGTGTTTGAGAAACTCAGAATGCCTTCAGCAGTGCTCTTTTTTAGTGTGCTGCATAGTTGGTCTTGCAGATTAGTAAAAAGGAAGCAGGCTGAGGAACTTGGAGAGCTGACATTTTAAAAAAATGGCACTCTCAAATTAACCTGAAGTTTGCCACTGGCACTCTTCTGATGAGCAAGGGAGAAACGTTAACAGATAATCATGTCTATGATAGTAGCAGTTAGCATTATAAGTGGTATATTTAAACAAGTATCTGAAACAGAAAGTCATGCTCTGTGCCTTCAGCAACCCTAGTTTTAAAATGATGAATAGTCATTCTGTATTCTAGTTTGCTGGTATGAATCACTGAATCACCCGGTCATGTGCTGACAGCAAAAAGGCTCTCAAGACCAATATCAGTCTCTCCTCCCACTGTCAGCATCAAGAGGCCCATTGTGGGAGTCTGGCTGACGGCTGGCCAGAGAGAGCAATTCCACAAGATGAGCGAACCTCTCCCAGCTTCTTCTGTTGTGTCTGAAGTTCTCCTCGATGGTCCCTCAGCCTCATGATTGTGCTGTTTTCCCTTCTGCCTTCAAGGAGTTAATAGCAGATCAACCATTTCCAGTGAGTCACGTTGTGCAAGTAACTCATAGGCCTGTATCTGGGTGCAACTTCAGACTTCAACTGAAACAGGCATTCTAATGCTGTGATAAAGCTTTCTAAGAGAGGGACAAACACATTTTCTGTTCAGTACTATAAGCTGTGCATTTGCACTTTCCTTGAGTATCAGCTATAAGGCTCAGTCTGGTGTGGTTCATGTGCATTTAAACTGAAGTTCCTTTACAGTGAAGAAATAGCAGCTGAAGTCCCATGTGTTTCAGTTAAGTTTTGGTAAGAAGAGCCACCTGGAGGAAAGTTGGCCACATGGGGCAAATGGGATGACCGCAGTAACCAAACTCTTCTGACCTCTGGCATCTGGCCTCTGACCTGAGTGGGATTTGAACCCATGCCTCCAGGGATTATCCACAGAAGGCTGATAAACAGCAAAATGCTCCTAGGAGCAAAGCTGACTGGACTGGAATTTCAGTTAATTCCATTCAGTTGTTCCTCTTGGAGAACAGAATTTAGGACAAAAAACATATTAACTGCAGGTTCCTCTAGCTGAATCTTCACTGAACACTGAGAAAATATGGCGTCCTTATTCTCCCATACAAGAAACTGGCCTCTTTTGGTGAACATGTCTAAAGCTACTGCTTGAGCAGACAAAGGGTTAAAATGTTTAGGACTGAGGCCCACAAACAGGAACTCTGTTTTCAAGACAGTCCTGGAAATTCCCCAGTTGCAAATGTTGCAGTGTGGAGGACCTGCACAACACACACTGATGGAGCAGCATGGAGTTTGAATCTTAATTCAGAATTTGAGACAGAAAATAGACAATCGTTCTATAACGCATTGTTGCTTGACCTAGCTCATTTCTCTCTAGAAATGTCCTTTTCCTTAAAATGTTTCCACACCAGTAGAAACTATAGTATGTGTAAGCAGTGCACAGAGCATTGGTCATTGCGCATTTAAAATCAAGTGCAGCCAGCCTGCCTTCAGAACGAACTACCCAGCCGTGTGGTTGAAGCTATTATCTTGGCTTCTTTCAGGATCCTTGGACTGATTAGATCAGCCAAATTGCCTCTTGTCATCTGTAACCTTCTTTTTGTGTCCTTATATTCTAATTCCTTTCCAGCAATAGCAACAATACTTAGTTCCCCCTTGGGTCTGGCATTTCCCTCCACCAGCATGTATGAAACCTAAAGAGAAAAATGCAAACACATTCATGATCTGTAGCTAAGCCAGACTTCAAAGGAGACTCACCAATACTAATACATTCTTTCTGAAAGTTGCGTTACACAGATATCAGAGCCGAGAGAAATCTATAGGTGTTTATATACTGCATAAGGAAGCATTAGCGCTCTTCGATGGAGGCACATGGTACATTCGAGAGATTGCAATGCAAATTTAAAGATGATTACCAAATTATGGCTAATGCTGCAGAATTCTAGTCTAAGCAGCCTGTGTGACACGAGCAGTGTTAATGTGCCTGGCTGCAGTGGTCTGCCCATTATGTGCCACATCACGAGAGCTTCACTGGCCACATGGCGATCAAAGACTTGAAAAAAACAAAGGAAACATTCTGACTGAAGGATTCTCATGTCTGGGTTCACTCTTATTTTTATATTAAAAAATGTTTTATTTCTTTTTTTATTTGTCGACATTATGGAGATGGAACTTACAAGGGTTCTGCTACACGTCGCGTTTATTTATTTTTTTTAATTTATTTTTTTTTATAGTTGTAAGTGCAGGGTGGCAACACAAACATATACCAAAGGCAGCCGAAGCAGTTACGCCTCAGTCGCAGCAGGCTGGGATCCACTTCTGCAGAGGTGCAGCGCTCTCTGTCCCACCTTGTGTTACTGGTGGCTTCATTGAGCAAATGTTTTATTGAACTGGCTGCATGTTGTCTTCCTCAAGCAGGTGCTGGGTTCAAGAGGCCCAGCAGGATCCAGTCCTCTGTGCCTGTGAGTCCTCATAATGTCAAAGCCCAGCTATCTCGACTGCAGCTAAATCCAGTTTTGTGAAGGATTTTTGACAGAAGCTGTTTTCAGGACAGTGTTATTGTGTCTGTTTTGTGCATTCCAGTTTAGGCTGGGTTTTACATTTTGTTTTGCCAGCTGTTGAGAAAAAATGTCTGGGCACTTTCTGTTTAATAATGCATATGTATTTATGTATAGGAGCATTGCACATTTAAAAAAACCCATAATAAATGCATTCCAAAAGCCACATTCCCTTTGTCTTAATTTACAGAATTTTGCTTGGGGGCAGTATCGCAATGTTTGCTTTCTGAGTACATGTTAAAAGCATTACACAATAACAAGCACCGTGCAATGTTCTCTGGGGATTTCTACATCTCCTTCCATGTATGAGCACTAGCTGTGGTGGCAAGCCCATGAGTTCTCTGAGGTTAACTCAGCTGGGCTGCACCCAGGAAGCTGTGGCAGTGCCCTTCTGTAGGAACTCGTGATTCGACTGGTCTGTCTTTACCAGATTGGACTGCTATTACTGAACTGAACTAGACTCTCTTGACTGGATTGTCATTATTGGGCTGTAGTTGTCACTAGATCTTGAATGCAATGCACTGTATTACTAGATTGGACTGAAATTACCACACTGAAGTGGACTGTCTGTACACACTAGACTGTGTTGACTGGACTATCATTACTGTACTGTCATTACTGGATTGGCTTGCAATTAGCACATTGAACTGCACTATCATTATGCACTAGACTGACTTGACCAGACTGTCATTAATGGAGTGTATGGTCATTACTAGATTGGACTGTCTTAAATACACTGGACTGGATTACTGGATTGGACTGTAATTACCACACAGACCTGGACAGTCATTATGCGCTACACAAGGGGTGGACAGACCTGGTCCTGGAGGACTGGTGTGTCTGCATGTTTTCCAGGTCTCTCTAAAGCAGCAGCATCTTAAGAGCTGGGAGCAGTTGGTAGAATGGTCCAGTAATGAGCCAGTATTGAGCTGATTTAGGTTGTTAAGAGATGAGGCTGGAATGAAAACCTGCAAATGCACTGGCCCAGTAGGAGCAAGAGTGCCCAGTCATGCAAGGGTCTTCCTTGACTGGACTGACATCACTGCACTGGAAAGTCTTCACTTGACTGGACTGACATCACTGCACTGAGGGGAAAGTGGACTGAGTATCCAGTCAGACAGCTCTGAAGGGGCAGGAAGGTGATGGACAGTTGTCTGTGACGCTGCTGGAGAGCTCGGCATGTTCGTTGTCATGTCTCCCTTGTTGTGTCTCTCTACACAGGAGTCGCCTGAGGAACAGGGGCAATGGGGTGAAAAAGGAGTCACCTGTATATGTGATTTCTTCAAGCCAGGGGAGGCTGCATGCAAAGTGTTTGTTCAGCTGATAAGAAGTAACACAATTGCATTGAAATGCTATTGTTTTCTTATTGTTTGTTTCTTGGGGACTAGTATAACATCAGTTAAATGAGCTTCATTATGGCCAAGCGCATTTAAAATTGAGAATGAGGGGCACTGTTTTACACCAAGGGTTGTGGGGGTCTGGAACAAGGTGCCCAGCCATGTTGATGAAGCTGGTTTTCATCAAAAAACCTGCAGGAAGTGAACCCCGGTTCAGTGAGCTCCAGGAAGAAAACACGCTCCATGGGTTCTTAGAAACCGAAGAGCATTTACTGCAACTTTGTTCAAAGGTAAGACAAATTACACTCCGGTCATGAAATGTTGGGTTTTTTTTTAATCCCTGCTCAGTCAGTGTGGGGTTTTGTGCCATTTAATAGGATGCATGGTTTAAAATTCATCCTCATCCACAGCCCGATTCGATTTTTATTAACCATGTCTCCTATTTACACCAGGAGTCGCTGTAGGACTGCTCCGTCTGAAGTCTCCATTTATTTCTTAAAGCAGCCTGTTGTTTTTTCAGCGGATTAGAGAATTGTCGCTCAGGGGTACTTTAACGTCTTGTATGCTTTCCAGTAAAAAATATATTCTTGTATTAACTTACAATTAGGGTACGGTATGAGAATTATATATGTACAAATGCTATGCACAACGCACATTCCAAGTTGATTTTATAATCGGCATTCTGTTCATGCTATTGATTTTTGGAGCGCTGCAAATGATGTGAATGGTGGTTGGTTGTATAGTCTGGTGGTATAGGCGTAGCTGGTAAGCAGGCGGATTTGGAAAAAATGTACGCGATCTGTCCTGACGGGTGAGTATTAATCGATACGACTGATTGATCAATTCAGGCATTAATTCGTTGGAATAACAAAACCTTAGCTGTGTGGGGTATGCAGAAGTGTAAACTGGACATTAAGTTAACATCGCCGTCAAAAACTTCTGCGTGCCGGGGTTTAGGTCGGTCAGCTCCTCTCGTAGCGACCGGGACGGCTCGGGGGAAATAGTTTCCATGACAACGAACTTTTGGCCCCCGCGGCGAGGACCGAGCAGTCCAACCTACAGCCCCTTTGCAAACGAGCAAGCGTGCACCCCATTTCTGCACCACCGGCACCCCACTCCCCCGCACCTACAGTCAGCTTGGGAAGCCAGCAGAGCGAACCCCAGTCCGGACTCACTGTGGCACACAGGATATTAGGGTGCTCTGTCACTCAGGCAGCCAGCGAATGAAGCCCCACTCCCAGTCAAGGAGAAAGCAGCTGAAAGGTCACAGCTAAGACTGGGTCAAAATGCCCAGTGTTAAATAAAACCATGTAATAAGGCCTGCATGTTTTCAACATTGCCTGTGTTCCAGCAACTTGAATGAATCATAAAGCGAACATGGCACAACAAGGGGCAGGCGGGGGGAGGATTTGCGTGTGAGCGCAGTGCTGGAGAAAGTGCTTCAGTTGCGAGGACTGGGCAAGGCTGGAGCAGGCAGGAGCCGGAGCCGGGGAGAGAGAGAGA